ACTCCTATCAGAGTGAAGGTAAAGATTCGTGAGCCATTGTTCTTCCACTAAAACATCTTTTTTTTTTTTTTTACATTCCTAGTGAACCAATACTTTTTATTTGACTATTCATCTAATAAAAATCTCCCTATGATCTAGAATTGTTACAGGTTATGGTTTGCATTTCCCCTTTCATTGAAAATGAAGTAGTCTTGAATCTAGGTATTCTTCTTTCCCGATTATCTTTTAAACAATGAAACATGAAAAGTGAGATGCATTCTGTTCTCTTCTGGAAAATCTAGAAAGTAAGTTATTTTTTTTAACCTTGGCTTTGATTTGAAAAGGCCTGTAATATTTATATGCTTATTTTTTTATTTTTTTTGTTACATGGTTATTTAATGGTACAACTAGAGTCTAAGACACACCCAATCTTTTTTTGTAGTTCTATTTTCTTTTATTTTTATTAGTATGTGCCTTCTATATATCTTGAAGCTTGAGTATATTTTTTTATGTTCTATAATATTGCTAATCTATCCTTAATGTGTGCCTTAATCACTAAAGTTTTAGTAATTCATAATATATAATTAATTAGATTAAGTGAAGTATAACCATATACCACCTCGAATGGGGTTGTCTTTAAGGATATGTTGTAGTTAGTATTGTACCACCATTATGTTATGGCCAACCACTTAAACCACTTTTTAGGATTGTCCTCTACAAAGCAATGAAGATACATTTCTAGGGTTTTGTTAGTATCTTTGATTTGTCCATTGCTTTAAAGCTGATAAACACTAGATATACATAATTGGACTCCTTGAACTCTGAATAATTCCTTCTAATTCCACTAGTGAAAATAGGATCCTTATCAATAACAACGTTTTATGGCATTCCATGTAATTTGATAACATCATGAATGAAAGTAAGGGCCATATTTGATGTTGTGTATGGATATATTGGTGTCATAAAGTGGTTCTATTTAGAAAGTTTATCCACGACTACTAAGATTATTGTGTAACAATTAGACAAAGGTAGTCCCTTGATAAAATCTATAGGAATGGAAGTCCAAGTCTTTATTGTATTGGTAAGGGTTGTGATAACCTAGAGGTTTTGTGTTTTCTACCTTAGCTTGTTAGTAAATCTCATATTATTTAATGTAATCTTTAACTTTCAACTTCATTCCCACCTAATAAAAATTTCTCTTTGCTCACCTCAAGATAACCTGAATGGCTCGCTACCAGGTTGTTATAAAGGTATTGCGTAATAGTTAATTTGAGAAAATGTATTTTGTTTATATAAACTCTACCTTTATATAACAATATTCCATCTTGTTTTTGAAATTTAATGGGATTTAATGTTTCATTTTGTAGAATATAAATTGTACCTCAAAATTAGAATAATAGTTAGTTTTAAGGTTATATATATCTAATTAACTAAGAGTGTTGTAACAACCTAGATTTCTCAATTCACCTCTCTTTATTGTTTTCTAGATAGACATTCATTATTAAGTTTTCCTTCTCAAACCTGTATTCTATCACAAAGTCATACCTAATTAACTTAGTAATCCATTTTTGTTAGGTTAAGGTTTATTTTTTTTATTTTAATAGGTATTTATAGCTTTGTTTGTATGTTTTAATCTTAAAGGATATACATGGGGTCTCCATTTATGAACTACCATAACTAAGGATAATAACTCCTTCATATGAGTGAACAATGTCAATTCTTTTTCTTTTAACCCTTTACTAAGATAAGTTAAGGGTCTTTTTTGTATTAAAATTGCCTTTATCCCTATTCTTAAAACATCACACTATGTTATAAATGATTTTGTGAAATCAAGTAAAACCAAGACAAGTGGGTTGGTCACAATAATCTTTAATGCTTCAAAGGCCTAGCCTAATCAATCTTTCTATCCCAAATAAATTCCTATTTTATAAGAAATTTAGTTAATGAACTTGTAGTTGATCCATATTCCTTGATGAATCTTCTAGAGTACCTAGTTATACCTAAAAACCCATTTAAGGATTTTTATGCTATTAAGCCCGGACCATTTAATCATGGCCTCAACTTTTTAAGGGTCTATTTTAACTCCTTCTCCATGCACATTATAACCCAAATACGTAATTTCTTTACAAGCAAATATACACTTGAAAAATATAACATAAAGTCTATATTAGGCCAAAATCCTTAAAACCTTTCTAAGATGTTCTAAATGTTCCTTTTCAATGGTGTTGTTTCTTAAAATATTATGGAAAAAAACCCTATACAAACTTCATTAGAAAATATTTAAATACCTCATTCATCAAATCTTAAAAAGTGAAAAGGGTATTAGTTAACCTAAATAACATGATTAGGAACTCATAATGGCCTTCGTGAGTTCTAAAGGTTGTTTTAGGAACATCTTTTGATATCATTATGATTTGATAATACCTAACCATAAGTCTAGTTTATATAAGTATTATGAATCATATATTTCATTTAGCAGCCTTTCTACCACAGGAATTGGGAATTTATCCTTTATTATTTTCTTGTTAAGAGCCATATAGTTTACACACATCTTTATAAGCCATATGATCTCCTAACCAACAATATTGGAGAGAAAAAATGACTTTAACTTAGTTAGATTGTGCCTAACTCTAATAATTCTTTTATAATTTTTTTATCTCATTTTTTTTTTATAATAAGGATACCTATATATATATTGATAAGTGGTATCCCTTTCTTAGTCATAATAAGATGATCATTGCTCCTGGTTAGTGGCAACCCTTTTGGTTTTTTAAAAACAGTTTTGAATTTATCCAATACATATTATATCAGTTTTGACACTAAAGTGTTGTGTTTGACCTCTATGTTTAAGGTCTAAATTTACAACATTAATCCATTAGTATTTTTCTTCAACTCTCATAAAAATAACATTTAGCCCACGATCAATATTTGACTCCTGGGTTTTGAAACCATTCAACAAAATTGTAAGTCTATTATATTTAAACCCCATAGTCAGATTTGAAAAATCTCATAGAATAAGCTCTAAATCTTTAAGTCATTAAGCACATAAGACCACGTTACATCCCCTTAGATGATTTACTATGGTGAAAATTTTGAATTGGACTCTCAAAACTACAAACTTAAAATTTAAAAAATCATCATCATTGTTAATTCTAGTCTCATTCATAATTCTTACCATAATCGATTAGTGCCTCATTAGATCTATTTCCATCTTCTTATCTATTTTAAGGTGAATGAAATTATAAGTGCTTTATGTGTCAATTTAAGCATTATAAAAATTTTATTAATAATGACTTTAACTCACATTGTTTATGAATTCTCTTTAAATCTTTCTAGATTGAATGTTAAAAGGACTCCCCATCATAGCATACAGGGATATCTCTGCTTCTTCATTAGTCATCATAGGTTTTTCTAAATCAGTCAAATCTCAAATTATCATTGATCCATCTTGATCTATTTTTTCAATTAAAAATAATTTTGGTTCTGCATAACTATGGCTTGGATTCCATTTAGCATTGTATTTAAAACATAAACTCTTATCTCTCTTTATTTTTCATTTGAACTGGTGTCACTTTTTATATTTGTAAGTTAGATTTTGGGTCTACCCTATATTAAATAGACAAAAAGCCCTTTTCCTTTGAAATCCGATGGTATTGAGCCTCTAACTCTTATGAATTACTATAATATTTTCTTTCTACATTCTAGCCAATCTATAAGGTGTTACCAAATTATGAGAATTCACCATTCTTACCCAATCATGATCTCTTCCTTTAATACTCTTAAGAAAAAACTTAAACAATGTGAATTTGAAAAGCCTATAACTTTTTTCAAGATTAGTTCAAACTAAGTAGATTGCTCGAATTGAATCTATATTACCTTTACCAAATACTCTCAATTTATAATAACTCTAATTTTTTTAATCTCCTAAAACAATGTAATAGCACACCCTTTCATTTTAAAAGAGTGTTTAGGAGTGTGATAACAATTGTTTTTTAAAGCGTTTTTCGTTCAGAAATGCATTAAAATAATATTTTTTATTTATTAAAAATTATTTTTTACATTAACACATCAAAATGATCTAAAAACATTAAAAAATAATTTAAGCAAAAGTAATTTTAAAGTTTTTAGAAACTTCATTTGACATACAATTTCAAATGGCCCTTAAAATTATCCATGAACATCCTATGTTACAGGGGAGTGTTGTGATAATTAAAAAATTAGGTTACCTTATATACTTAGCTAATTAGGTCATCCTTAATCTAGTTTTATTGCTCTTAGTTGAGTTTATTAATTTCCAACCTGTTTTGGTTTCATCTAGTGATAGTCATTAAATGATGTTATTGGGGTATCATGGGGAGACTTGTCTAGCTGTTGTCCTTGAATCTTCACAATTTGATCAACCTTTATAGTAATATGTTGTAATTGTTGATCAAGTTCTTATAAAACCTTTTATTATGTCTATTGGTTATGTTGTTGTTCTTCCAAAACAATTGTTACATCTTGATTTCATCAACACTTGGTTTTAATACTAATTTTGTAATAAAAATGTAAAGCTGAAAGGAATTGGAATTGGAATTGATAATATTAACTAAAATGTAAAGTTATTGAATAAAAATTAGTAATTACAAGGGTAAAAAAGGAAAAAAAAAGTTGTTTAGGCTGGTTTGAGGTAGTTTAGACCTTCCAAGATTGAGAATTAGCACTGAGTTCTTCCACAAGAAAAGTTTTAGTTAACTAATACAAATGAACTTAAATTGATTATTTCAATTTAAATGAGTGTTTGGTAGTGTGGTAATTGTTACTTTTCAAATAATTTTCCATGCCGAAATGCATGTCAATAATATTTTTTTATTTTTAAAAAATTATTTTTAATATTAGCATATTAAAACGATTTAAAACGTATAAACCATATTAAATTTCAACAAAAAAATTGAATTTTTTGGGAATGCGGGTGGAACTGCGTTTCCAAACTGTTTCTAAATGTGATGACAATTTGAATTTAAATAGATAGAGTTGTTTGGGATGATTTTATTGAATAAAAATTAGTAATTACAAGGAAAAATAGAAATTAACAATTTACTTCCACAAATGCAATATCTCGAGTATCATGCTTGAGATGGGATGGGTCGAATTGCCAAGGACTGGAGGAACCGTTTATATACGTGGCACTGTATCTGCTGTAGCCTTATAGGCGAGCTTCAAGAGATAGCAACTGCCTTGAGATGGTGGTGCACACTTGGGGACATAGGCGAAGGCCCCCGTGCGAGCTGGAACATTTTTCTCTGCGATAAAAGGGCGCCATCAGTTTGTCTTATTGGTTCCCTGAAAATGGGAGTCCTGTCCTTTTTGTTAGCGTAAACATTTTTGTACATCAGCAGCAATTCATCACTAACTGCAATGGTTACCACCTCACAAGTATGTTAGTCATTCACACAGATGCGCCGACAGGAAAAGTGACCTTAACAAGTAAATGAATTGAGGTGCTTCTAAGTTAAAATCTTTTTTATTTTTTTGGTAGATTCATGAAAGCACAGGAGTGACATTAACAAACTGGATTGACGAGGGGCTGAATTAACAAAACTGCAAAGGACAGAGGACAAACAGGGACGGTATGCCAAGCTATAAAATGGAAATTGATCGTAAAACCATTTTCATAATCTAATCAAACAGTATCATTAATTGGTCTAGTTACCATGACTGACCAAAGCTGTCATTCCACACGCCCTTACATATCCTTCATAAATGCCCAACAGTGTTTACACTAGCGAAAACTTTACCGGGATAAAGAAGTACATCTTTACATCAACAATCCATGAGCCATAAACAAAAATGATCCTTGTTTCAGATTTGCCTATGGCTTCGTGGAAGAGGAATCCTTGTGCGCAGCTGTATTAATCTGTTTGGACAGGTATGCTTCATAAATCTCCACGACAAGCCGGGGATCCTTTTCCACAAGCTCCATGTACTCCTCCCGCTTGGTAAGTTTATCCATGTTGTCAATGATGAATAACAACGCTGCTTCAAGCATATGCTTTGCATTATGCTGATGGGCAAAGGCATAGCTCACGACTGAGTTTTCCCAGTTTAGTTTTGACACCAAAAACTTCTCACAATAAGACTTGAGATGCTTCACCTGATATTTTTCGGCCAATATTAAAAGATCATAGGCCATCTGCTCATCAAGGCACGCTTCAGCAGTGTAAAAATAGTTGACAAATGTACGAAGTGCATCATATGATACATCACTAATCTTGATGGTACCACTCCGGCTTTCTTCCATCTCGTTCTCAAGCATTGCCTTGAAGACTGGGGAACGGCTCACCTGATCACAAAAAAAAATAAAAATAAAAACGTTAATCAGTAGTAAAAAACTAAACAGGTGAGCATTTGGCATAACACATCACCAGATCATCTTGTCCAGTATGAAATGGACATGCGGGGATACCTCTTGTTTAGACTAAAACAGGAACAAGTTGAAGGCAAAATTGATAAATTGTCTCCCATGGTTCGTCAGTTCAAGTTCTGTCTAGTTTGTCAGAAAACAGGCTACAATGTTAATGGGGCCGAACTTAAGGGATATCTCCCTCCCAACCTACTACGTCTCCATCAAGCTATTTGACAAACAAAACCAGGCTTGAAATGGGATTTCTATTCCAGGAAGGTCATTGAACAAAAGCATGCAAATAATACTAGCCAAGTACGCATTTGAAATGAAAGCGATTATCTCACATAATTACAATAAAGAGAAAGACATACATATCTAGCAAGTGCCATGATCATTGACGAATCAAGAGATAGTGGAACTCACTCAATCAGGACAGGATCAATCAATAAATTGCAAGTCAATTACCATCTAATTGATCAAGAATAACAAAATTGGGGAATTGATTATTTACCAAAACGGCCTTATGAGCAGGGACTGGGACAGATGGCGCAGTCCCGGTAAGTCCATCATCGGAGGAAGCAACCAAAACGACATCAGTGAAACAAGGGCCAGCAGAGGAGCGGTGAGTGATGTGGTGATCGAGAGGAGACCAGAAACGCAAGAAGGCAACTTTAGCTTTGAGATCATCGATCTCTCTTTTAAGCTCTTCTTCAGTCTCGCTTGCTTCCTCATAACACTCTTTGCAAGTTCCAGCATCGCATCTACCGTAGTACTCCTTACAAGAAATGCACCTCATCGTTTCGGAATCGGATCAGTATCGCTTTCAGTCTCCACCCGGGAGGACGCTGTACAGCGGTGGCCTCTCATTATTTTTTGCTGGGTTTTGTACAGCAAAAGGTGGGATGCCGTGCGATGGGGGGTTTTAATGAATTGGAGGTGGCTGGAAGCTTTGATTGATGCCTGATGGGGGCGTGGGTGCGGGTGCGGGTGCTTACGCTCACAGTGCAGACCGCAGAAAGCGCAGGTAGAGATAGAAATAAATGGGTATTCTTTATTTTAATCATTATTATTTTGTTAGCTCCGCTTGATGTTTTGATTAGTTTTTTTTTAAAAAAAAAAAAATCGCCTGTCGCTCTTTATAATTTGTTTAAAATAAATAAAATAACTTTGCAACCTAAATTTTGCCGCGCGTAATACTTTACACGTGTATCTAAAAAAAATTAATAAAAAATATTTCATTAATTATAAGTTTGCTTTTATTTTCTATTTAATCATTAAAAATCCTCTATATTAAATATTACTAGTTTTTCCATTGAATAAAAAAAAAATCATAGCCATCTTCTTTCCCAATATATCAAACCTAGTCATCACCTTCCTTTCCATGTAATTTCTCATCTATCAAAAAAATCCTTACAAAACCCTTGCTATTATTTATATTTCTCTTTATTTATAGCAATCAACTATTATTGTTAACGGTAACAAGCCTACCATATTTAATAGCCATAATTTACATATTCATTAATCATAATACTAATCAATTGTTATCATCAACAACTAGATCAGCTTAATTTATTATTGATAACCTCTCCAAATTAAAATTCTTGTCCTTCTCACTAAGAACTTGTCCTTGTTATTTGTCAAAATTAAAAACATAAGCTCAAAAGTCATCAAGAACTATATCCATCAACAACCAACTTGTCATTAAAAAATCTTAACAGAAAAATAACACTGTTTTATCTCTAACCAAATCTTTCTTCCTAAACTCCCACTCATCCATTCTAGAAGTTCAATAATCATAATAACTGGAGCTTCAACATCAACATTAGTTGGAGTTACAATGTTAACTGTAGCTAGAGCTTCAATAATGATAATAATTGGAGCTTTAGCAATAATGATGATAATTGGAGCTTTAGCAATAATGATGATAATTGGAGCTTTAGCAATAATGATGATAATTGGAGCTTTAGCAATAATGATGATAATTGGAGCTTTAGCAATAATGATGATAATTGGAGCTTTAGCAATAATGATGATAATTGGAGGTTCAACAACAACATCTTTTATTATAGCAATAACATCATTTTTTTAGTATTGAATGTCAAAGCCAAATTTAAAGCTTTCAATGCCAAATAAGAAATAAGAGAGGCATAAAAAATAATTGATTTAGTTGAAAACTATAACTTGCAAAGTTGAGGTGATGGCAACGAACAGGGGCGGAGTAAGAAAAAAAATTAAGGCCAAATTAAAAGAATTGTTTTAAAAGGGTTAAAATTTTAATTATTTTATACAAGGGAGGGGCTGGGAAAATTTTCCTTACAGGGGCCCTGGTCCCTACTAGCCCCCCTTCCTTTTACCACTAGTAACGGATATTGTCTTTGATTTCTCAACATTGAAGTTGTTCCATCAAGAGAAGAGATATTGTTCTTGATGAACAGTTTTAGTGGTGCAAAGATTGAGAATAGGATTGAAAATAATTCTTATTGAAGCTTTAACCGTTGATATTGTAGTTCAATCAGATTATAAAAAATTTGCCCAACTCTCAATTTCATAGCAAGTGATAAGGGATGACATAATTGATTATGTTGTTGATAAGATAAACTAGATACTTAGGTTTATAGAGAATCAAAAAATGATTCAAAAGATCAGAGTTCTTCCAAAGCTTTAATTTATAGGTTTTTCAAATGCTTTTGAAAAGAGGAAAATTGTATTTGAAGAAGAGAAAATTTTGATTTGTCTTTTGTTTGAGTTTTTTGTATATTATATATATATATAGACAAGTAGTTTGATCTTTTCATTCAATTTAAAAATTTTGGTTGATCAAAGATTCAAAGAGTAATTTTTGAAAACTTTGTAGACAAATGCAGTTTTAACCAAATTCTAAGATGCTAAGAGTAATTTTTTTTTTTCATATTTTCAAGCAGTGCTCTTATTCTTGTTATGATATATACTTTACAACAAGTAATTTCTTAAAATTCATATTTACCATCAAATTAAAAAAAAAAACTAGTCATCACCTTAATCCTTTTTCTCATTACTAGAATCTAGTCATCCAAACTTAACAATCGAACAATGGAATGACCAAGCTAGTATATGAGCTATAACATCTAATAATGCGAGCATCAATGTGAAATCACCTACTAACACTAAAAATTCAATAAACAACTTGAAATTCTTTTGTTCTTTCTATCAGAAAAGATGATGTCAAAACCTATAATTAAACCATACATCTAAACTAAGATCTACTACATGGTTCATCATATGAATAAATCTAGTAAATCTTATTTGTACATGAGCAGAAGTGGATGAAAATAGATTTAAACAATATGAACAATGGGTGGAAACAAGCCTAAAAATGTTTGACCATGACCTCCTTATCCTGTTCTTTTATTATGGTTTCTATCATATCCTATTCCATAATGAATATAATCTTACATTGTTACACTTAATTTTCTAGCTTTATTTGACTCTGAAAGTATTAAGAATGTTTCTCATTCAACCTATGCTTAAGGACCCATCATATTAGAAAAACACTTTACTAATAAATTTCATGTACATTTTTCTTTCTACTTTTGTCATCCTGTTACTTACACAAATTAGAACAACACCCAGTAACATAGAAATCACCATGAATTTAGCTTTCTTCAAATTCAAAATCTACCCAAAAATCATAGCTCTCTTCCTTGTTAAATAAAACCAAAATCAATCCATAAAACAAACTATAATCTTTGCCATTAGCATATCTCGAAATAGACACCTAATGAATATTGCAAACAACCCACCTTCCTCATCTTATCCATTATTTTTTTCAGTAGACATCTAATAAATATTGAAAATAACCTACCTTTCCCATCTTATCCACTAATTTTTTAACATCATTAGTTTTATTTTTTTAAGGCCATAAGGTGTTGTGGATTGTTATTGATGATGACGATTCAATTTTGTATGGGAGAAATCTTTAATTTGAGTTTTTTCTCTCTCTTCATAGAAGAAAATAAATCCATGTCCCCACATCAATATTCTATGTGATAATGTCAAGAAATATTCTTAACCCATTTAACAAAATGAAAACAAAAAAAGAGGATTTTTTTTTCAAAAAATTTGGTCTTTCACATAAAGTTTAGTTTTTTTTAGTTTGCAAGGATTAGATATTGACCTAATAATTTCTCATTCTTAGAAGATTTATGTTTGATTTGGTGATTATGTTTAGAAAAAAGAGAAAATGGTGTGTGAAAAAGAGAGAATCTATCACTTGAAGAGAAATGGTTTTTTTACCAAACTATAGGATGTTAAAAGTAATTTTCTTTTAATTATATGATTAAAAAACAAATGCTTGTAAAATCAAGCATCAATCTTAAAATAGATGTTTATTTGATACCATTATAATCCTATAAAAAGAAATAAAAAAACTAAATTATAAATTATATTTCCTAACTAAGTCAATATTGAAAGGTGAAATAAAAAAAATTAAAAGTTCAAAAACAAAAAAATAAAACATATCGGGTTTTGTGGATAAA